GTGGTGTTGTGAATGGATTCACATTTTCCAACTGCTCTTTCTGTATGTCTTGCATTAAAGTTTGTAAACTCTCTAAACTACTCGACTTTCGCATCCCTAACGCCGGCCCCACATCTCGCGTATTATTGTTGTTATTATTATTATTGAGTTGAGTAGCAGTGGTGCGGACCGTATGGTACGGACACGAACCGGGCGATCGACACTTCCCTACAATTGACACACAATTCAAAAACAAACGATAAAATAGAGCAAAAAACAAATCCAAAAAACTAGTGCTGCAAATCATAACCAAAAAATCATAACAAAAATCAAACCAAAAATGTCATAAAAATCAAATCAAAAACAGAAAGTCAAAAACAGGCATAATATGTGCGAAACCTCTATTTGGAAAAGTGCTATAAATACCAAAAAAATTCATACAACAACACGACGGAGGGAACAGATTCTGATTGCGAGCCTTTGTCTGTCGACAACCATTAAACACACCATTTCTTTCTGTGGATTAATAGATGGATGGAAAGAGAAGAGCCATTTATAAGCCAAACATTATTGCAATTTAGAAAACAATTTGTTATACAAAAGGCAATGGAAATGATAGAGAAAAGCAATTTTGTTTTTTTGTAAATCAATTCATGTGAATAACCAATAATCCCGTCACCAAAATAGATAAATGAATACATACTTCCAGTATTAGAACAGCTATTATTATGAGACTCTTTTTGTCGAGCAGTTAGTGTTAAATAATCACAAGAAATAGATCTTTGGTTAGCAATTGAAGGACTATCAGAGACTGCTTTTCGTTAGATATTACCATCGATTTTGATACAAATAAGTCATCAAAATAAAGAAATTTTTCATTAATTAAACCGATGTATAGTTTTATGGAAAATTAAATCAAATAAATTTTTATCATTCAATTGAGACACAAACCTAATTCGTGCGGAACTACTACTTTGTGATCGGTATTCACTGGTTGTTGTTGTTGTGGTGTCTGATGCATACCATTCACCGATTGGTTTGGTTGTTGTTGAGGTGTATCAGAGTGTTGTCGTTCCCGGAGCTGTCGTTCCTTCTCTTCTTTGGCTTTCTTACTCCTGCGATATGTGTCGGTACTCTTGGCGTCGAGCTGTGCGTGTCTTTTCTCGGACATGGATTGGCGGCCGAAGCCGTCGCGTTGGAAACCATCG